GATCACCGTGGGTCTAGTCCTTGGCCTATACAACACCCTGGGCTTAAAATAAATAAATAAATAAATAAATAAATAAATAAATAAATAAAAAATGATGCGGTTCGGCCAACCGGGGGGAAACCGGCCCGGTCTACTGGCCGGTACGGCCGGTACGGTTCCGGTTGGGGGAGGGCCCCCAGGTCCTACCTGGTAGGTCCTACCCGTCCTACCGGGTTTGCAGCACTACTATAGACACATGTCTATTAAGTAGTATTAAGTACTATATTGACTAAAATAGCGCACTTTGCGAAACAAACGACAAAGAAGACAAACATGAAGAGCACATTGAAACCATTCTTTTGGTCAATTCCTCTTGTAGCTCACCCTTTACTGTGCCTCATGTAGAAGGGTCGCCACATTGCATATACATATACAACTATGAGTAAACGGATTTCAAAAGACACATTCAAACAATGCAGATAGATGTTTACCATCCATAGAGCTCCACATGTACGTGCATGACTGTACCTTTGCTCAGCAATGTAGTCGCGGTAACTGAGAATACAAGAGTGCTGCGGAGGTTTGTTTTTCTTACGTTTTTTTGGGGACCATTTCTCAATTTATGCATATCATCCTTGCCCCAGAACCAGCACTTTCGACGTGGCTGTAGCTGGGGATATTTCCCTGTCACCGTAGGGGCGTGCGGCTATGGGGAGTTGCCGAGGGAGGAAGGCACTCCTTACCATCTGCACTAGTTTGGTCGGTACTGGGGCTTGGCAGTGCCCTGTAACTCTAGCATGGGAGGGTATGAGACCAGCCGTGTGTTGGATCGAGGATTGAATACGAGACCTGTAGTTTTCTTCAATAGTTGAGGGGAGGATGGGATGCTGTTGTTTGCGCAGTTCTTACTAATGTTTTCTGGTCCTGGATCCTTGGTAGTATTTAGCCTTTACTTGCAACCGGGGTATAGGAGTTTAGAGAGGGTCACACCTGGACTGATCTCTGCTGAGTTGTTCTGTTCTGTGCCCCTGTTTTGCCGATGCCAGAACGACGCTGGCCGGAGCTGGGGTGTTGCCCTGTGACCTGCAAATTTGCAGGAGTATGAGGTCTTGTAGAGAGATCTGGGGGTTGCCGAGGGAGGAAGGCAATCCAGTGGCGAACCGGGGGGGGCTGCGTGGTGGCGAGAAGAGATCAGCTATGGGAGATGTTAGTCTGGTTGGTACTGTCTCTGAGTAAGCATGTCCCGGGGAAAGGAAGGCTAGGAATTACCTTAGGAGTCTAGATCTAAAGGTCTGCTGCCTTGGTCACCAACGAGGGTCTTAAGAATGGTTTAGGAATCTGGGGACTTCTAATAACTTAGCTTAGATGATCCAGTGCTGATGTACTCAGTGACCTGCGGAGGTTCGATGCCAGAACGACGCTGGCCGGTGCTGGGGCTTTGCCCTGTAACTTGCGGATGCAGGAGCGTGAGGCCTGGTAGAGAGATCTGGGGATGCTTAGGGGGGGCATTCTAAGGGACAACCAAGGGTTGCTGCTGAGATGACGCTGGTCGGAGCTGGGGTGAGTCGTGTTGCCCTGTAACTCAGCAGGCTGGGGGCACGAGACCTGGAAGAGCTCAGCAGGGCGTTTGTCAGCGCTGGAAGGCTCAGATGGGTTGCTAGGGACTCGTAGATTTCTGAGCATTCGTGGACTTCTGTGGTGGCATTTTTAGTTGTAGCAGATTGTTTTTCTGAAGTTTGTCGAAGTAAAATTCTGAGTAGCTTAAAAACTTCTAAATCCTATTTTTCTTGTCATCATAAGGGACGCTGAGCCCGGTTCTCGGCAAAAACAACAACAACAACAACTTGCCCCAGGGGCCATGCTAATCTTCTCTGTGTCATAATGTCATTCCAATTTGAATGGATGTCCCGAAGGACTGTGGAGGTTGATTTGATATTGCAACATTCAGAAAGCAATGACCTTTGTAACTTTGTGAAGAAGTGTAAGTGCAGAAATAGACAAAACAGAGCTCACTACCATAATGGAGGATCCGGCAAATTTAAGGAAAGATCAGGGTCACAGTTCACAGTATAACTCGAATTGTACGTAACTCCCAAGATTGCATACACCTTCTCACGTGGAACATGCGTAGGCAAAAAAGTATGCATGTGCAGCCCGACACTTTCCGATTCCACTCACCTGTATCTGGTTTCTTTGAGCTCTGTGACCGCACTTGCAGATGTGCGTAACTGTTTTCGTCCATCTTTGATGACTCTTTCCCGCAATTGCCGTGTATTCTCCCCCGCTTTCTTTTCAACCTCTGGCTCGTCTTCATCTGCCGCTTCTGGGTGAAGTCGTCCATCCACCTGGTGATCGAGTGCCTTCTTTTCATCTATTTGTTTCCTTCTCTCCCTCTCCCTCTCTTTTGGACGGTCCTTCTCCTCATCTCCCTTCTTCATCTCCATGTCAATTGGTGGGGTGGATCTATAAGACTGCTTTCGCTCTCTTTGACTATCTTGTTGGACATGCTGCTGTGAGTCTGAAACACGTCCAGAGTGATAAGGTAATTGCTGCCTCCGGGGAACAGCATAGTCAATGTCCAGATCAACACACTCCTGATGATGAGAATTTCTTGTGGCCATCGGCTGGCCCTGCTGGGGCCTTGGCGTATCACCCATCTTCCATTCATTCCCTTGGTCACGCCGTAAGCATGCTCCTCCACTCTCATATTGTTTCCTCCCAACAACTTCCTCCGTATGGCTGTACATCCTTCGGTTCTCAGCACCCACACTATAAGCCTGTTTCACTTTTATACGCTGGGTCGTGGTTGTCTTTACACCCATAACAGGTCTGCACATTTCCACATCGCTTCCACACACAAACACACACACACACACACACGCACACACACACACACACACACACACACACACACACACACACACACACACACACACACAGAGGAGGAGGAGGAGGAGGAGGAGGAGGAGGAGGAGGAGGAGGAAGCATGTACACGTGCAAATGACCCTCAGCTAGATGCTCAACCACCCTTGCTTTTCATAGCACTTCTATTTCTCTTATGCCTTAGCCAATGAACAAAACTCACAAACTGGCCATCTTCCTTGCAGTTGTATCATCAAATGAATAAGAACTTGAAAAAAGATGGAAAGATGACAAATTTGACATCATTACATAATCATATGTGGCATGTCTGTTTTACTTCATACACCTTACCCCACCAGCTCAGTACACATCCGTTGGATTCCCATCGACGTACACCTATGAAGTATTATGTGGAAATGGAGGAAAGTAGGAACAGCGAAAACGAAAGGCGTAGCGGCTGCCTCGATCATCCCAAGCCATTGGTTTTCTTCGTCTTCCACCTGGCATTTTTTTCTGACATTTTTTTCTGATAACTATTTCAGTTAACAACAGCGAAAACGAAAGGCTTAGCGGCTGCCTCGATCATCCCAAGCCATTGGTTTTCTTTTTCTTCCCACCTGGCTTTTTTTCTGACATTTTTTTCTGATAACTATTTCGGTTTCTGCTCCCCACCCCCCCCGCCACCTTTCTAGAGTCATCCGTCATCTTCAGGCCTGGGGCACCATGACCATGCCACCACAATAGCAACCACCAAATGCAGCCAATTGTGGCCAAGAGCCCTGTTCATGTTTGCCTTCGGGGTTCTCCTTAGGCAATAGAGTAAAACAATCATCTATACACTCTACCCCTCTTGCCCACTCTCATTCTGTACATCGCCCACGACTCCATCCCCCCTTTGCACCGACACTTCCCTACAGTCGCTGAAACAATCCACCACACACATGCTATTGTGAGTCATGAGACACACAGCACACAACCAAAGTTTGTACATACAGACCCATGCTGGATGAGATGAATCTGTCATATCATACCTCTCAATGTCACTGCAGCTCTTGAGTCCACCTTTCAACAAAGCCTGGCCAGATTCTAGTGACCTTCTCATCAAGTCAAAAGTCTCATCTTCTTGAAAGTCTTGTCTACAAGCGTCCTTCTCAGTCTCTAACTCTTGACGTTTTGGTTGCTGCATATGTGTTCGCCTCCTCCCATGTATGGCTCGATTACTGTCCAAAGGCCCCAATTCCATCATTTTCCACCACCACCAAGGACGATAACACCCTTCCCCCGCCATCACCGCCCACCCCACCCCGTGGCAAGTGATCTCCCAATTCAGCCCCACCACCAGCACCAGCACCAGCACCGCAATTCACACAAGGTGCAGACTTCTCAGCAATTGACAATTTTCAACCATGGTTTTGATAGATACGGAACGCCAGAGTTCGGCGCATAATATAGAGCAGACGGTCACACAGCAGGGCTGAATTTCACAAGCAGCAAAAATTCCCTTCTCATTAGCTCACTCCTCTGGAGTCTGAACTGTTTCTTCCTTCAGATCCCACATTATTATGACAAACACAGTCAATATGCCCAATCCTCGCAAGCACCCCAGCCAGCAAACAGTCTTCACAAAGCATCATCGTGGTTGCTCCTGCAACCAACAAACTGCTACCAATGTCTACCATAGCTAAAGCTCTTCTTCCTCATCTGTATCTTCCAAATGAGCGCCTCTGCTCCCAGACTCTACTAGACCCTTACACCATCCCCTGTGCTAGGAACTCCACATCACAAAGGGCCTTGTGTCCTGCTGCCCTCACGACTATCACATTTGGCAAGTGGTATAACAAGGCCCTAAGCCCCCCAAACAACAACAAAAGAAAACGACTCTGAAGTTGTGCAAGTAAAGGTGGTCACTCCACCACAGCCCATCAGAAACATGGCTCCAGCTATCCCTTATCGCAGTTGTAAGGAAGGGTGAGGAGGGTGACATTGTGCGCTGGTTTCTCTCTCTGGAGGGTAGCGAATTCAAAGCTTCAAAGTTCAAACCGTTCATGTGACTGCAGCCATCGCATAGAAGAATGCTCCAGCTTATCAGGAGCAACAGCAACATCAACATGATATGAGCACACAGAGAGCAACGTTGGCCTCCCTTTCGTGCCTATGCCTCGGCCTCCCATGTGATTCCAGCCTCTTGTGCCAGGCCCTCCCGCGGCAGCCAAAGATTCGGTCTGTCCTCGCCTTTCCCTGGAACCGAGCTACAACGGGAACGGGACTGGACACGTGGCGACTCCCTACCTCTCGACTTCAAGGACACTACTATTCCTACCGATTTTATGCTTTCAGATCTCTATTTTAATTTGTACAGTACTTACCGGAAAGATCTACTTCGACCCTGAGGTACAAAATAAAATGGGACAATCCACTGGGGCAGTACTGCAGCAGAGCACAAATTATTTGTTTGGGCTCCTCCGAGTACGATCTCAGTTAGGCGATGTTGCCTTGTGAAATCAGCAATGCCTATAAGACTATAGGAATTTGGCAGTGGTAGTTTGCCATGGACTGCTCTCGTTAGCCAGAAGCAGAGATGCTTATCAAGACTTTGCTTGAGAAATGGTTCATCAGGTTGAAATGACAATGAAAGCATCAGGAGTAGCTATCTGTCAAACTCGTGACCCCCACTGCGTGCTTGCTCATAATGCGAGACTATGCAACATGTGGTCTCACACAGTTCCTCTTTGGGGAGCCACCTATCCTCTCCGGGTCTTGGCATTGCCATCTCACTCTAAGCTGTTGGCTTGGTCTCCCACATCTACCGGTTCTAAGTGCAGCCTGATCTACAATGCGGTCAATATCATATCTACCATCCATATCAGGTGGAATTATTGATCTATGTGAGGAGGACTGTTGCAAATTAGCAGGCAACAACTTTGAAGCATGGAAAACTGGATAAGTGTAAAGATGTGAAGGAACATCAACCATGTAAGACGTACTGTCAGTGTCTCCCTTGACATCTACAATTTCCCATGGTCCTCTAAATACAGGTAGCAATTTCTGAGAAATCCCTTTCCCAGGCACAGATTCCTTGGATTTCACCCTGACTAACTACTATTGCGACCTTTGGTCTGCAGCATTTGTTAGCTTGCTCCTCCATCTCGAGTTGTGCATGCCTGATATTCTCAGTAACTTGCTGTAGGTCTTTCGAATACTTCAGTGCAGACTCACAGGTATTGGGTGGTAGTCTCTGAATCTGGCCCCGGTTTAGTCCGCCTATAGGTCTTGGTGGCTTCCATTCCCTGTGCAATTCATTACGCATTCTGTTAGTCAACAGATGCACTGAGACGTTGTATGCACCAGTTACCTTAGGGAGGTGCTCGTTCCAATCTACTTGATCATCTGATATACATACGAAGGGTCTCCTGCAACAACTTATTCATCTACTACGTCCGGCCATTAGTCTCGGGGGTGCATTGGCTACCTTAGGGAGGTGAACTCCCAATCTACTTGATCTGGTATAATATAAATATGAAGCGTCTGCTGCAACAACTTATTCATCTGCCCTGTCTGACCATTAATCTCGAACAACTTTTTCACAGATCTCTATGCTTATGTGAGGGTTTACCCCTCAGCATAAGGCCCTGCAGCAGGTGTGTGCCCGCCCTAAGTGAAGGCAGGCCCCCTGAACTTCAATGTGCCCTGAACTCGTCAATTTTGCCAAATCTAGGTGGGCGCCAGATAGTTGCCACGCGCCAGTTCGGTCCCAGGCCACTGTCTAAACAGAAACATTTGCTTTGCTCGTGCCAATTGAGCCTTCCAAGCTCTTCCAGCAACGTGGTCGAAACAGGGAGCACCGCACACTTGTGCCTGGGTGGCTGGGCATGCCTAACCAATTCAGTCCCAGGCCACTGTCTGAACGGGCCTGGGGTACAGACATTTTCGCCGAGACTGAAGCTACTGGAAACTCGGCCCGACGAGGCAAGCGGGTGGAAATACGCCCGCAACTTTCGATATAGGAAAGGGGCGGGCTCCGGTGAGCACATTCAGGCACTTGCGTGTAGATGCGGCAGCGCTGCTGGAGCAAGCGCTTGCGGGCTGCTGCGCTAGCGCTAAGGTGCAGGTGCGCTCGGGCGTCGAGAGAGAGCAGGGCGCTGCTGAGGGCAGCACCATAGACCAGCCTTCATAGGCAGGGCCTTCATAGGCAGGCTAGGACTTGGACATAGCCAGTGGAGGTGGTTGTGGTCTTCGTGTACGAGGGCGAAGACGTGGGTGATGAAGTTGAGGGTGAGAGAGAGAGAGAGAGAGAGAGAGAGAGAGAGAGAGAGAGAGAGAGAGAGAGAGAGAGAGAGAGAGAGAGAGNGAGAGAGAGAGAGAGAGAGAGAGAGAGAGAGAGAGAGAGAGAGAGAGAGAGAGAGAGAGAGAGAGAGGAGGTTGATGATGTGAGGGTACATACCTGGTCTTGGCGATGGTCTACAGAGTCGAGTACCAGACTGTCTATATAGAGAGTTCGGTGGGGATAGATGACTCGTGTTGTACATGAGTATAAAAATAGTGAGGTCGGGGCTGGCCAGTTCTGCAATGACTTGGGGCACAAGGGTGGGTGGATTGCACACTTTCAGACACGCTGCTGAACCAGAGCTTCAGGACATTGTCACCAAGTGACTACTCAAGAGGGATACGGGGGAAGAGAAGATTCCAGTAAACACTCCAATTGTTATTTATTGTAAAACTCCATTCTGCATACACACCAGCAAATGATTTTATTTTTATTTTCGATTATTTAGTTGTGACGGACTTAGCTAACAACTAGCAGACGGCTGCAGATAGAGTAGTTAATATTCTTGGCTGCATTGCAATCTGTTTCAAACTAGTCAAAAGTAGGAATGAAGGAATGAATTCTTTGTAGGAATCTGAGATTATCTGCTGTTACCGCTTGGCTACTTTCTGACAAACCTGGACCGAACATTTATTTTATTTTATTTTAATCGATTGGATGCCATGCTGCGGTAGGTCCCAGCAAGGACTCTAGTACAGATCGCAGGGCACGCATAGCTCATGAGTGGAGAGGACAATGAGGTTGAAGGATTAGACCAGGGAGAGAGGAGACTTACCCGTAGACTTGCACTCAGTCGGCCAACCACTTTCTTGTGTTAGAATCAGGAGAGGAAAGGAGACTGCGGAGAGAAGCAAGGGAGAGGGGCAGATTGCAGAGGGCTATGGAAGCAGCAGCCGACACTGAGAGGGCGCTAGCAGCAGCCACAGCAACAGAGGCTAGAGCCACAGCAGAGGCAGCCATGGCTACCGTCTCTGCTATGTCACAGGCCCCTTCTCAGGCTACTCCGTCAGTACCAGTTTGGGTACGTCAGGTACTTCCACTAGTCAGTCTGCTGGCTTGCAGGTCAGACAGCAGCAACCCATGTCAGATGAGGATTATGAGATCCAGCAAACGAATGCTCTCCACACCGAGTTACGGGGCCAGTTGCGGGAAGTAGAGGAAAGGAGAGAGAAAGCTAGAACTAGAAAAGCCAGGCTAGAGGCAAGGCCAGAGGAGCTAGGCAAGTTAGAAGCTATAGACGAGTCGACTCTTGATCATGTGGTTCTGTCCCTTCGGAACTCCTCGGTGAGCGTAGCCGAAGTGCAGGACGTGCAGCAGGAAATGTTGGCTACACTGATAGCTGGCCAGAACCAGATTCTGACCGCATTGCAGGCACCTCGACCTCCAGTGTGGCCACCCCAGATTGCTGTAGTTCCCCCCTATGGTTGCAGGTCCTTTGATGACACTGCCGCCGACATGGCAGCCCTTTGCCCCACAGTTTGGCATGCCCCCATCAGGCGGAGTAGTAGCAGGTAGTAGTGGGCAGATTTCTCTACAACCTTCTTCATTCCCCAATCAGTTGCTGCCCCTACAGGGCACCCACACGTCCAGCAGCCTTTGCAACAGGGTCCGCCGCAGCAGCAGGTACCACGGCAGCAGCAAGTCCAGCTGCAGCAACAAGTGCTGCCGCAGCAGCCTGTTTCACCGGTTCCCAGCCCATGCAGCAGGCACAGGATGCTGTACAGCCCGTGCAGTGGATACCCAAGATACCCTTGCTGAGTCCTAAGCCCTTCTCTGGCGACAAGAAGAAGGACGAGGACCTGGATACCTGGGTGAGGACTGTGCCTACGTATGTGAGGCACAAGCTCACTAGGGCAGAGGAGGAAGTCATTGTCGCTGCATCCTTTCTAGAAGGATCTGCAGCTACATGGTTGAATGGGTTAGTACAGAAGCAGGGCTACAGTCAGAACTTCGATGGCTGCGCACAGGCCAGATCATTGGAGGAGTTCATACGGCTGGTCTACCACAGGTGGCATGACCCCCAAGGGGCTCAGAAGGCCAGTGACTCGCTTGCAAGTCTGGGATCAAAGAGATATAGGACAGTTCGCGAGGTAACAGACGTTGTAGAGCGACTGACCGTTGTCCCCGGTGTGCGGTACGAACTGCAGGTCCTCTTGACGACTTATTTGAGATGTCTACCTACAGATGTCAAAAATAAGTTGGTCGACATGCATGACTTCGCTTCATTCAGCAAGAAGGCCTTAGACATTGAGGCTAGGCTTGGGAGTGGCCAACAGGGACCAGTAGATGGGATGAAGAACAAGCTCCCTCAGGACTGGAGGAAGAAGGGCAATCTCATGTTTGTTGAGCACAACGGCCAAGCAACTGACATTGACGACTTCTTTGACCTTGGGGAAGAAACAAAGATAGATGGGAGTGGAAAGACTTCAAATGGTGGAGTAGCTGCGCCCATTAGAGAAAAGGGTAAGGGGGCCGGGAAACAGAAGGTAGGCCAGCCCAAGGGTCAAAGTCACCAAGGACCACCCATACGGGTGAAGCTTGGTCTTGAGTACAAGGTGTGGTAGGACGGTGATGCGCGGGGCACTTGTCTCAATTGTGGCCAGTACGGGCACACCATGAGCAAGTGCAAGAGTAAGCGGGTCGCTGGGAAGGTTGCGTCCTCAATTGTGACAGTTAGATCTTCCAACTCTAGTGGCGCTTCTGCGAGCACTTTCCATCGAAACACCACAGGCCAGTAGGAATGTTAGCCGCTCTTACCCGTGCTGAAGTGGTTACTTTACCTTTTCCATTTCAGACGACGACCAAGGCTATAGACCGTTTGATCGCCCCACAGACGGATCCAGACCAATCGATGCTTTGTTCGATGGATGTGTCTCAGTCCTTAGAGGAGTTAGAGACTGAGTGGTTAGAAAAAGACCCTAGAGACTCCTGGGCGATGTTGAACAAAGATTAAGGGGGTGAACATTTCGTGGTAGAAGTCAATGTAGGTGGCCGAAACGTTGGCGCCTTCGCAGACATAGGTTTTACACGGAACTTAATCAGTCGTGCTTGTGTCAGGTTCTACACGGAACTTCATCAGTCATGCTTGTGTGGATAGGTTGCGCTTAGGGAACCAAGTACAGAGGCTATGTCAAGGACGTAGTCACAGACATAGGTTCTACCTTAGCCAACAAGCACTCTATGATAGTCAGAGACTATGTCAAGGACGTAGTCTACACCTTCTCCTATGGAGGGGAATTGAAACACAAGATCTCGTTCCTGGTGAGCGGCGAACTGTCGTTCGACACGTTGCTAGGCATGTACTACCTCGAGGTTGTTAAGCCTCAGTTCGATTGGGATAGGAAGGTGATCCACAAGTTGCCATATGGAAGGACCGTTAGGCTGCAAAAGCTTAAGGCTAGCAGACTAGTCGAGAACTATGGTTGCATGTGCGCGTCGTCTTTCTATAACTATCATAAACAGAATTGTGAGGAAGGTCTGTACCCAGTCTTTGTCTCTGAGAAAGGGGAGGCTATACAATCACCCCCACTGATAGAAGCAGTCGTTGCGCAATATTCAGACCTCTTTGAGGAGCCTAGGGGTGTGGTAGAAAGGGAGATTGTCCACGCGATTGAAGTCGATCAGCAGCCAATCTGGACCGTCGCGTGCCAAGGAAACGAACACCCCAGATCAGCTCCTGGTCACATGCTGTGAAATAGCGATTGTTATACTTGTAGTGATAGACCCCATTCCACAAACCCCTAAAATTCAAGGTAACCCCTTAACTTGACTTTTATGCCCACCGACCCTAACCCACGTGACTCTAGACACACAATCTAGACTTAATTGACATCTACTTTCGTGGTTGCCTCGATCAACAGACTCTTCTACAAGGATACGTTTTGACAACTAACTTGGCCAACCTGCAGTTTAAGGACAGCCAGCACAGTCCTCATGAATTATTTGATGTCGCAGATAGGACGATGTGGCCAAGTAGTGTCTGCAACTCCCTGGGTCAGCACTCATGCGCACACAGTTTGCTTGCATGTCGGTCAGCACCCGTCCTTTGGCTAGACAGGTTGTCCAGTGAGCCCCCGCCACTCAATCCCCATGCTTGCTACTTTACACGTTTGTCAGTCACATGTGGACCCCTCAATACTTACAGACCTTGATCAGCACTTGTATGCAAGACGGTTCGCTCGCACACCAGTCAGTAAATTGTCAGGCTAGGCAGGTTGTTTAACGAGCACCAGCCGCTCAATGCCTGAGTTTGCTACTTTACGTGCTTGCAGGTCGCATGCATGCCCCTAAATTTCCTACCGGCTTAGGATCTACTCAACGACAACAGAAAAATGACTCTTGCAGCTCAATCCAGGGAAAGATTGCAAAACAGTGAGTCAGTGTCATACACCCGTTATGCAAGGCTCAGGGCACCACATACCTCACCTCTGAGCTCATCAAAGATTTAGGCCTGCTGATGCCGTTACATCACTGCTGAAGGTGCATGCTTTTCCAACCCTTGCACCTTTCTCCTCCATCCGGCTAGTCCCCAGCTATTTCTCCCCCCTTTTTTTTCACTGTTCCACTGCCTCTGACCTTGTTCCACCCACACCGTCTTTGCTCTACTTCCTGCTGCAGACCTCTCAATCACTACTGCAGGTGCATGCTCCCACCTCCTAATTGCCATTTCACTTATCTCCTTCTGCACTCTCTCCTCACCTGTGCACACCTCTCAATCATGTGTGCCCTTCTATCTTGCCGGCACGACTGTCTTCACCTGCACGTGCATGTGCACACCTCCAACCTTCGGCACCCACTTCCCCTTCACGCACAACGAGAGCACTGCTCGGTTACAAATGAGAGGGCTGCTCCGATGCCATTAGAATTATCTCGATTATCTAGATCAAGATTGTAGTCGCAATAGCACGATCAACACAATATGAGCACACATAAAACTTAATTACAACTTAAATGATATACAAAGGTTTCCAAGATCATGGCTATAGCCACCAGCAGCAACCAAGGCAGGTAACTCTCTCTCTCTCTCTCTCTCTCTCTCTCTCTCTCTCTCTCTCTCTCTCTCTCTCTCTCTCTCTCTCTCTCTCTCTCTCTC